GAGCGGCTCTGAGGACCCGCTGGAGCGCAGCTTCCTGTACTGCGGCCAGGCCCGCGGCAGCCCCGCCAGGGTCAGCAGCCACGCCAAGGCCAAGCCCGAGTCCGTGTCCACCTGCTCCGTGACCTCACCTGACGACATGTCCACCAAGTCGGACGACTCCTTCCACAGCCTGCACGGCAGCTTGCCGCTCGACAGCTTCTCCAAGTTCGTGGCGGGCGAGCAGGACTGCCCGCGGCTGCTGCTCAGCGCCCTGGCGCAGGAGGACCTGGCCTCCGAGATCCTGGGGCTGCAGGAGGCCATCGGCGAGAAGGCCGACAAGGCGTGGGCCCCGCTGCCCAGCCTCGCCAAGGACGCCAGCAAGCCCTTCTCGCTGGAGAGCCACGGCGCCTGCCTGGACTCCGTGGCCAAGAGCGCGTGGCCACGGCCAGGGGAGCCCGAGGCTGCGCCTGAGGCCTTACAGCTGGACAAGGGCGGCAGCGCCAAGGACTTCAGCCCAGGGCTGTTTGAAGACCCTTCTGTGGGCGTCGTCACCCCGGACCCCAAGAAGACACCTGGCCCCCTCTCCTTCGGCCCCGGGCCCGGCCTCGGGGCTGCCACTACAGACCCCACGGCAGCTTTTGACTGCTTCCCCGATACGGCCGCCACTGGCTCAGCGGACAGTGCCAACCCCTTCTCCTGGCCCGAGGAGAACCTGGGGGATGCTTGTCCTCGGTGGGGGCTGCACCCCAGCGAGCTCCCCAAGGCTCTGGAGCAGGCTGGGAAGGCCTCGGACGGCGTCGGCAAGGAGAATGCCCACGAGGCCTCAGCCTACCTGGGCTTCCGGGAGGAGGAGCCCGGGGAGAAGGCCGCGGTGCCCCAGGACTCCAAGCAGGAGGAGGCAGGTGGGGTGAAGGAGGAGGCGGGCGGGCTGCTGCAGTGCCCTGAGGTAGGCAAAGCCGACGCGTGGCTGGAGGACGGCCGGCACTGCTGCGCCGCCACAGACTTCGGGGACCTCCCGCTGCTGCCGGCCCCTGGCAGGAAGGAGGACCTGGAGGCTGAGGAGGAGTACTCGTCCCTGTGTGAGCTCCTGGGCAGCCCCGGGCAGAGGCCCAGCGTGCAGGACCCGCTGTCGCCGAAGGCTCCGCTGATGTGCACCAAGGAGGAGGTGGAGGAGGTGCTGGACCCCAAGGCCGGCTGGGGCTCCCCCTGCCACCTCTCGGGAGAGTCTGTCCTCTTGCTGGGTCCCACCGTGGGCGCCGAGTCGAAGGTGCAGAGCTGGTTTGAGTCCTCCTTGTCCCACATGAAGCCGGGGGAAGAGGGGCCCAATGGGGCGTTGACTCGGGGGGATCCTGCCGCCCTGGCCCCCGAGGCCTCCTTGGTCCAGAAGCCAAACAAGCCCGCTGTCCCCGAGGCGCCCATTGCTAAGAGAGAGCCCGTGCCACGGGGCAAAAGCTTGCGGAGCCGGCGGGTGCATCGGGGGCTCCCCGAGGCCGAGGACTCCCCGTGCAGGGCGCCGGTTCTGCCCAAAGACTTCCTGCTTCCAGAATCCTGCACGGGGCCCCCCCAGGGACAGATGGAAGGGGCAGGAGCCCCGGGCCGGGGGGCCTCAGAAGGGCTCCCCAGGATGTGCACCCGCTCCTTCACAGCCCTGAGTGAGCCCCGCACACCTGGACCCCCAGGACTGACCACCACCCCTGCCCCCCCAGACAAACTGGGGGGCAAGCAGCGAGCTGCCTTCAAGTCTGGCAAGCGGGTCGGGAAGCCCTCCCCCAAGGCGGCGTCCAGCCCCAGTAACCCGGCTGCCCTGCCCGTCGCCTCCGACAGCAGCCCCCTGGGCTCCAAGACCAAGGAGACGGACTCGCCCAGCACGCCCGGCAGAGACCAGCGCTCCATGATCCTGCGGTCCCGCAGCAAGACCCAGGAGGCCTTCCCCTGCAAGCGGCGGCCCTCGGAGAGCCGGGTCCCCAGCTGCCGTGCCACCAAGAGGCTCCTTGCCAGCAGCCACCTGCCTGCCACCTTCAAGGTCTCTGGCAACTCCCAGAAGGAGGGCCGGGCCAGCCAGCGGGCGAGGGCCCCCAAGCCCAGTGCGGGTGGCAAGCTCTCTGACCGGCCCCTCCATGCACTCAAAAGGAAGTCGGCCTTCATGGCGCCAGTCCCCACCAAGAGGCGGAACCTAGCCTTACGGAGCAGCGGCGAGGCCGGTGGCGGCCGGGGGGACGTGAAGGAGGAACAGGCCGAGGGCTCCCCGACCCTCTTCAAGAGGATGTCTTCTCCCAAGAAAGCCAAGCCCGCCAAGGGCACCAGCGAGCTCACCCCGAAGCCCCCGCCTCCGGAGACCCCCGACACCTGTCCGAAGCTGGCCTCGCGGGTGGCCTGCCCGGGAGCCATGAAGACCAAGGTGCTGCCGCCCCGGAAAGGCCGGGGCCTGAAGCTGGAGGCCATTGTGCAGAAGATCACCTCGCCCAACCTGAAAAAGTTTGCCTGCAAAGTGCCAGGGGCCACCCCTGGGAGCCCCCTGAGCCCGCCCCTCCCTGAGAAGGACCGCGGGCTCAAGGGTGCCAGGGGCAGCCCAGGGGGGGCGGAAGGACTCCTGAGTGTGGGCACTGGGCAGAAGCTCCTGGCAGCTTCAGGGACCGACCCGTTTTGCAGAAATGCATCCAATAGATCCTTAAAAGGCAAACTCATCAATAGTAAGAAACTGTCCTCGACTGACTGTTTCAAAACCGAGGACTTCACGTCCCCAGAGGCCCTGCCCCTCAGGAGGACGGTCCTGGCGCCGAAGAAAAGAAGCCGGAAAGGCAGGGCTGGAGCCCTGGGGCTCCCCAAAGGGCCCCCGGAGAAGCAGCCCCATGCAGGCCCTGCGCTGCTCTTGACTCCCCGCGACAGGGCCAGCAGCATGCAGGGTGGCAGTGAGGACAGCCCTGGTGGAGGAAGCAAGAAGCCAAAGGTGGAGGAGCTGGGCCTGGCCCCCCAGCCCCCTGAGAGCAGGTCCTGCCAGCCCCCGATGAGGGCGCAGAAGCAGCCAGGCCACGCCAACTGCAGCAACTATTCCAAGCGGAAGCGCCTCACTCGGGGCCGCGCCAAGAATACCAGCTCCTCACCCTGTAAGGGGCGTGCCAAGCGGCGGCGGCAGCAGCAGCAGGTGCTGCCTCTGGATCCTGCAGAGCCTGAAATCCGCCTCAAGTACATTTCCGCCTGCAAGCGGCTGCGGGCAGACAGCCGCGCCCCGGCCTTCTCGCCTTTCGTGCGGGTGGAGAAGCGAGATGCATTCACCACTGTATGCACTGTTGTCAACTCCCCTGGGGAGGAGCCCAAGCCCCACGGGAAACCTTCCTCCTCTGCCTCCTCGTCCTCGTCCTCGTCCTCCCTGGACGCAGCTGGGACCTCCCTGGCCACTCTCCCGGGAGGCTCTGCCCTGCAGCCCCGGCCCTCTCTGCCTCTCTCCTCCACCATGCGTCTGGGGCCCGTGGTCTCCAAGGCCCTGAGTACCTCTTGCCTTGTTTGCTGCCTCTGCCAAAACCCGGCCAACTTCAAGGACCTCGGGGACCTCTGTGGGCCCTACTACCCCGAACACTGCCTCCCCAAAAAGAAGCCAAAACTCAAGGAGAAGGTGCGGCTGGAGGGCACCTGTGAGGAGGCCTCACTGCCCCTCGAGAGAACACTCAAGGGCCTTGAGTGTGCAGCCGCCGCCGCCACCAGTAAAGCCCCCAGGCCCGACGGCTCTGCTGACCCGGCCAAGCAGGGTTCGCTGCGCACCAGTGCCCGGGGCCTGTCCCGGAGGCTGCAGAGCTGCTACTGCTGTGACGGGCGAGGGGACGGCGGTGAGGAGGTGGCCCCAGTGGCTGACAAGACCCGCAAGCATGAGTGCAGCAAGGAGGCCCCCGCGGAGCCTGGCGGGGACACCCAGGAGCACTGGGTGCACGAGGCCTGCGCTGTGTGGACGGGTGGGGTCTACCTGGTGGCCGGGAAGCTCTTTGGGCTGCAGGAGGCCATGAAGGTGGCCTTGGACATGGTAAGAGGCCAGCCCGGCCGGGGTGGGGGGGCTCGGGTCCCACAGGACAGGCAGTCAGGGAGCCCCTGCCTCTCCAGCACGATTGGGGCCGATCAGCACATGACCAAGTATTCGGAGGAGCTGGGGCAGTTGGAGCACCATGAGGCCGAGCACTGCCCCGCCTTGCCCAGGCTTGCCGCTGCGGCCCCTCGCTGCCCAGTGCCCACTGCACACTCACCTGGCATCTCCCAGCCCTGGGCCCGCAGGCCTCACATGCTCATGAATCAGCCGAGATGCTGAGGCTCAGAGGATGGGGCGCCTCCCAGAATTGAATGTCAGGGTGCCCACAGAGCAGGCTCCCCTGGCTCCAGCACCTCCGGCAGTAGGTGGGGACTTGGGGACAAGCCCCTCAGACATGAGAGGGGGGTGTCCCTCCGCGAGCCCCCAGGCAGGTCCAGGGACCTCAGAGACGGTGCTCAGAGCCCCTGGGCTGACACCTTGGCTCCGGTCCCAGCACTGCCCTCGACGTCACCTGGCTCTCCCCAGCGCATCTCCAGGGCAGGAGGATGAAGTGTCAGTGGCGGTGAAGGTTGCACAAGCCACTCCCGGCCTGTCTGAGTGCCCTTGACGTTCCTGGGCTAGGACTAGGGACAGCAGCGGGAGCCTTGTCCCCTCAGGGTGATGCCCGCACGGGGTGCCCGGGGCTGCTTGCACTCCCCTCCGAGGGCTGCAGAGGGCATGAGAGGCTTGGCAGCCGTCCGCAGAAGGCACCTGGGCCAGGGCCCGGGGCTCAGCATTCTCTCCCTGCGGCCGAGCTCCAGCCCAGCCCCCGGCCCTCGCCCTCACCTCCTCGGATGGAGGACACTGGGCCCCCCAGGACACCCGCCGCTCCCTCCTCGGCTGTGGGCAGCGGCCCGCCCTGGCACCCCTTCCCTCCTCACGCATTACTCCCTCCTCCTGCCGTCCGGGCACTGGCTCCTCGCAGCCCAGCCTCCTGAAGTAGGTCCAGGCCTCCTGGTGCTGAAAAGAATACCGGCCTCAGCCCGCCCGCACTCCGCCCTGGCCCCCCCACCACACCTCCCTGCCCTGGGAGCCGGGCCTGGGCTGGCTGGGGAGGGCGACTGGTTGACGCAGCGCCCTCTGGGAGACAGGCAGGGTCCAGGGCCCAGGCCTCCTCCCAGCGGGGTGCCGGCGGGCCCCAGCTCTGCTGAGGGACCCAGCCAGCCGGCAGGAGGGTCAGCGCTCGCCTTGCTTCTCTCTGGAGGAACAGAGCTGTGGGCCCCCGGGACACCCTTCGTCTCTGTCCCCTCCCGGGAGACACCCACCCTGCTGCTCTGAGCCCTGCCACCTCCTGGGACCTGCTTCTGGTTTGCACAGTCCAGCCCTTGCTCAGAACTGCGGCCCGGCTCCTCTCCGAGGCCTGGCCGGGGGCTGAGGGTGCGGGTCTGCTGAGCCCGGCCGGGT